AGCGTTTATAATTTTTATTTTCACTTCCCCTTTGTCTAAAAATACTTATTTCTGCTAAGAGGGTGGTAAGTGAAAGTTGTGTGATACGCGCAGTGCACCAGATTTTTTACTGTTAAAATGGAAAATTTTCCTAAATTGTTCCACAAAAGTTTCAACTTCTGAATATTGAAATACCTATTGATTATTAAGAGTAAGGATTTGATAGTGATGAGGATATGTGATTTACATTTATATTACAAAACAAAATTGTTTTCTTTATTTTATACAAATATATATATATTATATGGATATATATAAAATTATCAACATTATAATTGAAAATGTAATTTGTAATTACAAAGATTGGTAATCAGAATCAGAGTATGATAACAAAAATAATAATAATAATAAATAAAACTTAATAAACACTTCGATTCAAATATACAACACATCTACAGCTTAAAGCTTAACAATGAAAACAAAAAAAAAAAGTCTGGCCTGTAATTATAATAAATAAATAGGAAATGGTATAACATTAATCTAGAAGGCTGGACGAAAATATTTACATTTTGTTTGTTAAAAAAAAAATCCAAATAATCTATGTCTTTCAAAATCCAAATTAATTGTCAAAGTATAATTATCTTATTCTAAAGGTTCTAGTAAATATTGGACTAATTACTTTAAGTAACATCAATAATTAAATAAAATAAAAATAACATCCTGTAATTTGTTTTTGTTTATTTTTTAAAATAAATTTATATTTTCCACAAATCATAATCACAAATATGCATGGGCATAGGGAGGGGTAAGATAAGGTATACACTCCCCCTCCCCTCCCCACAAAAAAATATTAAAAATAAAATAGTCACAATTGTAAACAATATAATAGGTTGTTCAACATTTTGAAAGAAGCTAATAAACAAAAAATGACATCCTGTTCTAAAAATAAATGAAATTTAATAATTTTTTCTCCTTCAGGGGCTACATCCTTGCAAATATGGCAATATTTTTTTATTTAAAGTACTAACTATTCATATTAAATAAAAATGACTACTGCTCCATACTACAAAAATCTAACCATTTTAAAAATAACATTATAAACTCAATTGAAAATAAAAAATATAAATATATCATCATAAATATTAGGAACTGAAACCTGTCGAAATAAATTGTTTATGTGAAAAAATAATAAATTATTAACCGAAATACAGTGAAACCTCTCCTTATGGATTATTTTTTTATATCCCGGCCAAAAATTTAGTTCTCTTAAAAACAGGCGCTCTTCTAAACGACGCGGTCAGCCAGATTTTGGTCATCAAAATACATTAACTTGTCTTATGATTGAGTATGTACAAAATTGAAGTTATTCTTTTTTATTAATGAAGTGGGGGAAAACTATTTTATAAATTAAAACCAAAAGCCACAACAGTCATCACATCAAATTATTATTTTTTTATTCTTCTATGCAATATTTCTGGTATAATGGATTTATTAATTTTTTTTTTTATAAATAAAAACATAAGCGATGACAATGCATAAATTTCTTATGATAAAAGAAAAAGTAGAGATTTTAAATTTCAATTAAAAAAAAAAAGTTTACGGTATGGAATTTAACCATGGTAATTTTGTAGAAATAGATAATCTGTACCACTACAACTCATGAAGGGTCTTGGGTGCAGTACTATGTGAGGAAGTACTTTTTCAAGGCCAAGGGTTGTACAGGGACGTGATGGAGCCTATAACACGCTCAACCGCCAGGTTTTCCTCCTTAATTATTTTTTTTTAATTAAGGATACCCACTTTATAGAGGCTGGATGTGCCCCAGGAGGGATCTCTCCACTCCATGGTAGATCTACAACTAATGAGAAATTACTAGTCATTAGCTTGATTCAAAACCAGGACCTTGAGAGCTCTGGAAGTCAATACTCACCCAATGAGCTACCCCGCTCCACATAGAAATAGATACAAACAAAAAATTTGTCTTTTTTTTTTAAATAAGGAAAGTTCTATATATTTGTTTAATCCATTTGATAATACGTAAAAAAAATAAAAAAATACAAATCCTTAATAAACTATGTTTTTTACACATTGATTGAAGATTTTAAGGAGAAAGTCTAAATTCACAACTTACTTCCGATAAGATATGAAATCAAATCTAAAACAATGAAAACTTATAAAATATAACACACGATAATACTGACTAGCCAATATTGAAATATATGTGGTGTTAGCTATTAACTATTCTGGTGGAACGAAGAAGGAACATTAATTATAATTACATATATATAAAATCTCCAACAAGATCAAAATAATTTTTATACTGGTGAATATATAATTATCAATGTGAATGTGGGCACATACATCAAGGAAAGAGCAATGAGCCTTAAGGTGTTTGAAAATAAATTATTGTTTAAAATATTAGGAACGAAGGACGAGTCAGTTAGACGATTTAGATAAATTTGAGTCCAACAATTAAATTTTGTATCGCAGGAAGGTCATTAGAGGCCGAGGCCGTTAAGGATGCATTCATAGCACTGAAAAATGCTGCTACTAAAATAGGGCTGCTGGTGAACTTCAGTAAAACTAAATATCTGAATGCACTTAGCCAGCAAGAATATAAGGCAGGTAAAGGAGTTCATATATCTTGGATCATAAGTGAACAAATTGAATGATATAGTTGCGGAATCAAAAGATTCAGAATGTGGAAATCGAAAAAAAAAGCAGCTGCGAAAGTGGTTTTATTTTGCACTACAGAAACATCATCGAAGCAACTGTTCAGTGATCAATCCTTGAAATCACTAATAGAAACTATAATTCTACCAGGCCTCATCACCAATTTATTGGCCTCCATTTTGTTCATAATTCCTACTCAGTTACGGTGTTTTGAGTGTTAATTCCTCAAGCTACAGTGAAAAGCGTGAAAATTTACTTGACGTTATGAACAAGCTATTATGTTCTAAAAAACCGAATCAAACAACCTGGTGGAGAAGAAAAAGCAGATTTATCAGAATCATCCCCAACTCCAAGTGAGTCTAACCAATTCCATCACAAATCACCTAATTTCCGCCTGAAGCAAAGAAAGGGAAATTAACAACCTTATAAAGACAAAATTATTACTTTTTCTTTCATTTATAATTTTTTTTTTTCCTTTAAATTGAGCAAGGTAAACAAATCTTTGTTATTTTTGTATTCATTGTTAATACAATTTTTACAACAATTTTGAAGATTTCTGAATAATATAGGATTCTCCCCAAATTATCAAGATCGAATAGCAACCTTATATTGAAGCCCTCCAAAATCTGGTTTTACAAACTTTTTATGTGACTTTTATTCCCTTATGCCAATAAAACATGAACTCTAACTGAAAAACTTGAGAAACTTCAATACTATGATTTCAAATAATATTTCGGAATAGGAAAAAGGGAGAAGTGAAAGCTATGTGCAAGAATATTAATGTGATCTAATATTTCAAACTAGAAAGGTTATGCTGGACGAGGATAAGAGATTTTTTTGTGACTTTAGAGTGGTATGAGCAACGTGAATCTCCTAATGTTGATTTTTTTTTTTTATTATAATATCCCACAGTATATAAGAAAAACAATGTAGAATGAAATCCACTTTTTTGTTATATTGTAAAAAGTTGATTTTGTATATAGGGTCAAGGAATTGAGAATATATTTATAGAAAATTCAAGTAAACATAAATGAATTAAAAGAACAGGTTTTAAAAATAAATAATATTGAATTATAATAGTAGATTTTCCCAAATCAATGTTATCAATTTAAATTGATTATTATACTATTTTAGTTTTATATTATAAAATTAATTAGATATTATAAAATATCTATAAATAATTCAATCATGAGTGAGCCTTAAATATTTTTTTCCGACACAATAAAAAAGGTTGGTCGTGTATGTGGAGTAGAAATCAAAATGTAATGCCTATTAACTTATACAGAGACATCATGGCTTGGGGAAGATTGATAAAAAGAATCGAACAAACAACTAAAAACAAATATTTTTATTTAAAATTTATTTTGAAATAAATAAAATTAATCCGGATATGGAAGTGTACTGTATTTTATTTCATATTTTAAAAAATAAATAAAAGTAAAATTAATGAATGACACAAGCTATTGGCAAATGGTTTTAAGGCTTCCATACCATACCCCTTTTAAATAAACATGTAGTTTGTCCAAGAACCTTTGACGTTAGCTTCAGGGAAGAGGAACCAAATGGCAAAGCATATTACACACCATTGTGTTCAACATGTTAGATTAAATTTATTAACAGAATATATTTAAACAATATAAATAAAATTATGTAATGAATAATACAAAATTGGGCCAAAGTTATCAAAAGATTTTTTATAGAGGTTTAGAACGCAATAAATTAAAGGTTTATCGATAACACGTTTGTAATGGTAACACTTGTGCCTTGCTGTATAGTTAACTAAAACGTAAGTGTATCTATTTTTTTTTTTGTTAATTTTATTTTTTTTGTAGCAATATAAAAAAAATATTTACAAAGAGGAAATAGATCAAACATTAAAATAGTTCTATAATAGATATTGTAAAGCAAATCTAAAAAATTATTATACGGAGGAACTTCAAACTAAAATTGTATGATAATTAATTACGATACATTAATCTAACCTGATTAAAAACAGAAATCCCCAGAGAACAATTGTAAATAAAATCATATTTCATTATTACAAATAACTAGATAAAAAAAAATTCTTCAAAGATATAATTTCAAAGCTTTTCAGAGATCAACAATGGAATATGTTTAGTTACATCTGACTTGTACATCTAATAAAAATAATTTAGAAATATTACTAGCAACATTTGAATAGATGACATTCGCTATATACTTTTCTTCCCTTAATCCTTCAGTATTTTCACATATAACGGTAAAATACATAGAAGTAATAATAATTACATAATATAAACATACAATTTATACTTGAAAATGTGTATATAATATATATATATATGATAACAAAATTTAAAATTTCTCATTGGGATAGGGTATATTTTTATATACCCAAACACACATAGCATCAGCATCACACCCATGCATAAAAAATCGTTACTACTTCATTATGAAGCTGACAAAAACAATTAATTAGACTGGGCCAGTTTTAAAACATTAAAAAAGTAAATAATAAATAAAAGAAAAAAAGAATAATTAAAATTTTTGGATAATACTTTGGATAAATAAAAGTCTTATATAAAATCTACTCACATACTAAGCGTAAACCGTATTAACAGTATTGGAAAAAAATATCACAAAATTTTCATTAACAGTTTCTTATCTACTGTGTTTTCCGTTTGTGCTTTCTGCTTATGTTGTTCGTAGGAACACTGGAAACACTACCCGGTTTCATTGATAGATTAGCAATGAATACGAACATAATTCGTTTCAACGTCTCTTTAAGAAAGCAAAACAGCTTCTCCACTATGACTACGGGTGATTCGTATTCATTTGGTACAATACCATCAACTCCAGATTCGAAGAAACTGAAGAGGGGGAACCATATTCTAGTCCTACCGGTATCCCTCTGCATCAGTGATTGGTTGTTCGCTAGAGTATGGTAATAAAGGAACAGACGGGAAGTTATGTAGAAAGCTATAAATACATCGATCGAATAATGCTCATGACCAGAGAGGATGAAGAAGATACCAAACATATTCAACAGCCAGGAGAAAGTGTGTAAGAGGTATATGTCTCTAGGTGAATCTGAAAAAAAAAAAAAAATTATAAAACAAAAACTTATTACTATTCCAGGTTTGTAAATGTGAAACTTCAATTTTCATATAGAAACTATAGCTTGACATACAGACACCTTTTTGAAGTGAAAATTTCTTTAGGTGCGTTTTGCACTTTTTTTGTAGAGAATGAATTAGGATTGAGGCATCTGATTTCTAGAGCGGACCCTACACGGTATTTCATGAATGAACGTCACAAGAAGTGCCAAGATGGCCCGCGATTGCTTTGATCATGAAGACCCTTACACGTTCAATCATTACTGATCATTACTTATCAAGTTAGCTCAGTTGTAAACAAAGAAACAGCATAGATATGCTTATTTGGACATTGTTATTTATAATATAGGGCATCAAGAGAAAAACGGAGATATAATAATTACTTCCTAGTGCCTGAAAATCGTTTAGACCAAAGTTAGAAAAATATAAATCAACTACATACAAAAATCTAGGAAAAGTATTGCGAAAATAATCAATTTGTTAAGAAAAATGGAAAAATTAATGGCAAATAAACACAACAGTTAAAGATTTTTTTTCTATAAGTAAATTGTGAAGTTTCCACTTTTTTTTCTCTACAATTTATTGCCTACTTGACTATTTAAAGAAAAAATAGTTAAAAATGGTTAATAATAATATAGACTAGGGATATAAACAACTATTTACTTTTATGAAATTATTTACTTAATAATGAGACCTAGGTAAACTAACCTATCTAGTAGTAAGGTTAGTCTCATAGAAAATCGTTTTGACAAAAGTTAGTAAAATATAAGTCTACTACTTTCCAAAAATTAAGGAAAGGTATTGTGAAAATAATAAATTTGTTGAGGAAAATGGGAAAAGAACTGATAATAATATACAACAACGTTAAAGATTTTTTTTTTCATTAAATAAATTGGTGAAGTTTTCCGTCATTTTTTTTTTTAATTTGTATGCCACTTGACTATTTAAAGAATAGTTGAAGATGGTTTAAAATTATAACAAGGGATATAAAAATTAATTTAACTATTTACATATAATGAAAATCAGAAAATTTTATAATGGTTGTAAGGCCTTAGGTAAACTAACCTATCCATAGTATGGTGTTAGTCTCCCTACTACTTTTACCTCATCCCCCTCCACTTCTCGTGAATGAACCTTTGATTACCGGGATTTGATTTGAAATCCCGCAGCGCACACCATCATACTTCATTCACTACCTACACGATATTTCGTAACATCATAATGCAATTCTGAATGACCGTGTAGGCGTTTTAAACATACAGATTATAGTCGCTGGATTTGACTAATTGAAGTGTTTTTTCATATTACTAACAAGTTAAATTTTCAGCATTTCATCCAAATTATAATGAGTTTTATTGAAGATATGGATAACAATAACTCAGAAACTAAAAATCGGACTTGCATACAGTAAGCAAGTGAATTGTTCAGCATTTCATCCTCTCTGTAATGGGTTATTATTTAAAATTGTAACTTAACTGCAATTTCAATATCTCTGCTGCGTTAGAGATGCAAAAAGGGAAAAAATAGTATCGAAAACCTGATTATAACAAGTTTAATTAAAGATAAGCAATAAAATATCTCAGAAATCAAAAATAGGACCTGCATGCTGTAAGCGAGAGAATTGTTTAGCATTTTATCTTCTCTATAATGGGCTATTATTTATAATGTAATTTCATATTATTAATCTAGCCTTGTTGACGTTTTCATTTCAATCATGTGGTCTAAAGCACACACCTTACTTTTTTTTGTTTTTTTTTAATCAAATTATTGATATCCGGCTAAAACTTCGTAAATGGCTGAATCTTATTTATCTTATAACTTTTTCAACTACAGAAATTCTCAGAAATTGTGCATTTTTCCATTAACTTGATGAGGCCTTAAAAACTCATAGATACTTATTTCCTATCCACTTGAATTTTAAGATAATTTGGCCACAAAATCGAGAGAAAAGGTGGTCTGAAAAAACATTGGGCAATTTGGCCTATTTATTTTGACATGATGAGGGTGAATGTCATGCCAAATGGCCCAATATTTTTGTAGGACACTTTTTTTTTTTCAATTCTGTGATCAAATTATCTTGTGATTCAAGTGGAAAGCATATGAAGGTTCATGATTTTTTAATACCTAAGGGGTCTGTAGCATGGACTAATATATGTTTATCACTAATATTTAAAAAAAATATAATTTGTTTGAAATATTACCCATCGCTAATTATACATTTTTTTACTTAATAAATTAAATTTACACTGTAAAAATAATAAACTATTAGAAACAATTACTGAATGTCATAAAACATTTTATTTATACACTAAATAATATATTCTAAAGAAAAAATAAATTATGCCTTAAACATGCAATGGATAATTAACTAAACAATAAAATACTAAAAAAAAAAGTTCATTTACTAATTAAAATGTGACATCGGAAATAATTTTTCCATTGACTTCGTAATAACCTGGATAATTTGTAATAGAAACAAGACATATTAATTTGATTTCTTACATTCGGTAATGAAGAAATTAAGCATGGTAAGAGCTACAGTATGCCCACTAAACATATAATCTCCACAGGTTCTTACGCCCTGTATCGACATCCCAGCTCCTTTCCAAATGTGATAAGCAGCACGTATTTTCTGGAATATATCGAACTCTCCGCTGGAAAAAAATAATTAAAATTAAAATATATATTAAATTAAATCAAAGAATGAAATTAAGTAACATGCGTCTAAACTTAAGACAAATGTTAGTTAATTTCAAAAACTGAGATATTCAGAGAATATTTATAATTAATGCTGCGGAATGCAAACAGTTTAACACCAGTAAAAGTACCAAAATGTCGGCAACAATCAACTCAACATTAATATTTAAATTTCATTTAAAATTTTAAATTGTAAGGTCAACTCGAGCCAGAGGTGAGCCTCATCACCGAATTGACACTGAAATAAAATTTGCAAACTTCAATTCATCTTGCATTGATTTTTTATAGTAAAAGAGCTATCATATATTAAAAAAAAAAAAAAAAACTGCAATGCAAAAATTATAAAATTGTTTTAAAAATTCTGAACAGAACATTGTTTTTATGATTATTTTTTTTTTATTATGTAGGTAATGTTGAACATGCCACCGCTCTGATGGTTCAAAATCCGATGATGCTACAGCTTGTTCATTTGTTACCCATAACTCCACACATAAAATAAAACTACATAAACTAAGCAGCATATACACACGGAACTTCACGCAATAGCCTCAGCCCTCCACTTCTGTAGGTCAATATCTCCAGCCTCAATAGTCTTGATAACCGACTCCTTGAGTTCATTAAATGGTTTAAATAATATGTAGTCAAAACACCCAGTTATCCTTAAAATACACAAATATCTTCACACTCTGGAAAATTTAGGAAAATCGGTTTGTTTTATATGGGTTCCCAGTCACGTGGGTATAGTTGGTAATGAGCTTGCGGATGCGGCAGCCAAACAGGCACTCGCGCTTCCACACCGAGGTACTCCTATCCTGACCCCTCCAGAAATGAGTTTTCCTCTCAAAAAAGAAATATTGGATAGTTGGCAATCTATGTGGAACGAAAGCCCACCTAGCAAATTAAAAGCTGTTAAAAAATCAGTGAAGCCTTGGATCACATCAAACCGCCCTAATCGTAGAGAGGAGGTCGCCGTGGCCAGGTTAAGAATAGGACACACGAACCTAACCCATGTACATCTCATCACTAAGCAGCCACCACCAAATTGTCAGCACTGCAATAGCCTTCTCACAGTCAACCATATTTTCCAAGAATGCCCTTATTATACTTCAAGCCTAAATCGATTGTCTCTAAAACCGGATATATCAGCGGTATTAAGCAACAACGAATCAAACATAAAAACAGTGATACAATTTCTTAAAATACATAGACTGTTATATAAAATATAAAAATAAATATAATTTTAATTTTATTGTTCTTTCTTTTTTAATATATTTCATCTTTTATATGTTTCTAAATTTCTTTTTATTTATTACTGTATGTATTGTTAAATATTAACTCTCCTCTAAAGAGTTTACAAATATAACCAATTCACAGGCGTTGATGAACCCAGGGTTTTACGCCTTAAAGCCTAAATAAACAACCATGCCACCGCTGCAGCTGGAGGTGGAGGCTCGAGCAACAAACACATTATACATACTAAGCAAGCTGAAAAGCTGCTCCGCAATTCCGTGTCAAGGGGGACACACAGTACTGCTGAACAGGATTGGATGTGACGAAATGCTAGCCATGTGCTCTGGCACTCTAATCCGGGAATATCTGGACAGCAAATATGGGGTTGAGATAGACATCAGCAGGCAACACAAACCAAAAAATGGTATTAATTGTTATACAGATGGCTCTCATGGAGATACTAGCAATTTGCCATTGTGCTCAAAACCTACTGCGAAGCAATGTGACTGGGAAAAAGATTACAATCTATACCGACAGTCAGATAGCAATAGGTGTTCTAAACAATTATTATGTGTATTCAAAGGTTGCTAAGGAATGCAACACAGCACTTAACAAACTAACTGAGCACAAAAAGTTGCAGTGGAGTGGGTGCCTGGTCACTCGGGCATACCAGGCAACGAAGAGGCTGATGAACTAGCCAGATTGGGCTCAGATACCATTCCTGTAACTCCCGAGCCTGTTTGTGGAATCAGCCTTAGCACTGCCAAGGGCAGGATCAGGGAGATCTATGGGAACAAATTTAGTAATTACTGGACCGACAAGAAACAGCGACACTCGAAGCTGTTCCTTAAAGGTCCATGTGAAAAAAAGAAGCAAACTGATACTGAGTATGGACAGAGCAGCTCTTAAAAAGCTTACAGCACTGTAAGCTAAATTACCATATGTTCAATCTCCGAGTAACGACAAATCCGTATGCAGATTCTGTCAAGAGGAGAATGAAACAGCCTTTCACATTGTGTGTCGATGTGATAGATTCGCAAGGCTGAGACTGGAACTAATTGGAGAGGAACGAAAAGATCTCCCCAGTAGATATGAGATCCAACCATAATAATAATAAATAATCCATTATAATAATAAAATAATCCAACCAGCCTACTAAGGTATGCATAAGCGGCATAAATAACATTTTGATAATAAACGAATAACTTAATTGGGGCAAAATAGATCCTTCAGGGATTGATGTGCTCTGAGCCAACATAAAAAAAAAAAATTATGTAGGTATATATATATATATATTTTTTTTTTTTGAGGACCTTAAAAACAAATTGCTGGTTGATTAAAAAGTATCAGGAATAGGCAGTCATGCCTTTTAAAGTATTATGATGTAAATATTTTTTTAATATATAAAGATGATTCAGTTTTAGTAATTTAATTAAAATTTCCATATTCAAATAACTAATAAAACAAAAATTCTTACTCTCCAATGGAGGGTCGAGGATTGCAGTCCAAGTGGGTACCGGGAACTGACAAAGATGTGATAAGCATCGTTATACACCTAAGCAGGAATACGGTTCCACTGAGAGCGAAGAATCGTCGCAACAGTATAAACCTATCACAAACAAAGAAGTATAAATTTATTAATATTAATAAAAATATAAAACTTGATTAATATATAAATCTCAAATGTTTTGGTTAGATAGCATAGTTACATTTTTACACAGGAGAAATGAGATAATACATAAATGAGAGAATGTATCAGCATAATAATGATATAAAAATGTGAAGAAAGATCCTAAGAAAAAACATTATTTCAATAATTAACATAATTTTGATTTTGATAATATTAAAATTCTACAAAAAAAAAAATATATATAGGCAGAAGGAAAACTTTGAAAACATTGTATATTATTAAAAACGTAGATAATACTGTTTTATTCAAAGCAGATCCAGGACAAATAGGTCAACATTATGTAGAGATAATGAGTTTTATACTGGTTTGGATAAATTTTAAAGAAATTATGTTAGATTGTAATTATATAAAAAGATTTTATTTAATAGTAAAACTAAACTTGAAAAATACAAATAAAAATTATAATAACAAGATTAAAAATAGGTAGATTTAATAATAGAGTTGTGAGAAAATAATGTTATTTTATATAATGTAAAGGTTTTTAAACTAGTTTAGCAAGACGTAAGGATAAATTAATAATGTAGTTTGTATTGTATGTATGTAATGTAGTTTTTATTTTGAAAAATGTAGTTTGAAATTATTTAAAATTACATGTAAAGAGGTTTAAATAAACATAATCTCATAAGTGGAGGTTTCAGTAATGGACTATTGTTATTATGACAAGGGCGATTCAGTTTATATGAATTTAATTAAATTTAAATATAGGTATACGAAGATTTTTGACTACTGATGCCTGTGTTACAAATACAAATATACAAATTGGTTGCTCCATGCGCAATAAATGAAAAACATGTTTTCTATCTATAGACTGTACCATGAAAATGGCGCTAACAATTTTGATGAAACTTTTCTATAATGTTCTAATGATTGTTCTTTCAATTTTCGTATATCGACTAAATTCCCAATATAATTCAGGAAAAAAAGTTATAAAGAAAAGAAAAATGTTTTGGGACCTAACTTATTAAGCATATATCCTATGATAAAATTTATAATAAAACTTTTGAAATGTAATTAAATTACAAAAAAAACTAAAAAAAAAAAAATCATCGGAATCAAACCAGTATTAGCGATGATACAGCTTATTCTAGATTCTACTCATGTTTTAATTTATTACTTTCCTTACTATACTAGGTAAGGAAAGTATTGCGATCGCGTCAAATTTCCGATATGCGGTTTTTGATAGATCTATACGTTTCAGAGCTCTGAAAAACACACTTCAACCTGTTTTTTTTTTAAAGATTATGAAATTCCCTACAAAACTATATAAAAATCGTTCGTTTCGGATAACTATTAACAAAGTTACAGCTATTAAATTTCCAATGTAATATTACGGGTACATATCCTGGTGTCAGAAAGGGATGAATGAGAAAAAAAAACTAAGTGAAAGTAAGAAAATCTGTTGCCCGCATCACACAAGCTTCACTATTTCCTCTACTTTTAACAGAAATTATTGTTTGACAAAATTAGGCTATGACAAAAAGTTTTTGATCAGCAATATTAGAGGGTATTGAAATTTTTACACTGATCTACCTTAAGCCGGTTTACATTGATTTAGTTTATCGAATAATTTGTACACAAATCTTTTCTTTGATAAATTTTCAGGAAAATAAATCTAATTTAATTTTTTCTTTGTTTACTGATGGACATATTCAAAGATATAAAAACTTTTCTGAAATAGGTATGAAAGTCGTGTGAGTGGACACATCAGATTTTTTTATTTTTCTACAGGGTGTATCAATTTCACTGTGAACTACTTTATATTGACTCTATAGAAGAAAGTTAGTAGACTTATATTATGGGTGATAGATAGTCATGACACAGTAAGGTTTTAAGATTTTTAATGCCTAATAAATTTTTGGTTTATTATTTTCAATAATGAAACATTGTGATCGACCAAAAATTCCAAAACATAACCCCCTCTCAAAATTTGAGGTTTCATGTTTCAAGACGCGTAGAATTCGAAAAACGAATAAAAATTTTTTTGTCCGTCCGCCATCCGCGCATTTTCTCCGAAACTACTGGACCGATTTTTTTTCAAATTTTGATATAAAATCAGAGGTCACCCGAGGATGATCCTCCTTCATCAACATTACTCTCCGCTTTTAACTTTCAAAATGGCGGCCGAAAAACCTGCATTGCTATAGACTGTAGCTCCTAAACGAATGTACAGATTTCAATGAAACTTCTCCGGTTTTTTTTTATGTGTTCTACTCCAAATGTTATATCCTTGGTTTGGTTTTTAAATTTTAAATGTGTTACTGAACTAATGCTATTTTTTTTAGCATATTACTAATGATTAAAGAAAAACAGTTTCGTCCAATAATTGGAATCACCTTTTGTTTATTTTTCTTTGTAACTCGGTAGGTAATGTTACTTTAGATGTATAATTGTTTGGAAATAATAAACCATTGTGAAATAATTTGCAGTGTTTTTTCTATTGAATAGATCTAAAAAAGGATCCATCACCCATTATATATTGATTCTAATGTTCTTTTTTTGAATGGGAATTATAACATTATTTTTTTTTTTTTTTATAATTTAAGGATGGATTTGAATTCTATAGAGATAACTAAGGTACTGAATACCAAAAAGTTGCTCTAAACAAAATTGAGAAGAGACTGTCGTATGGTATTTAACTTGAATAATTAAAAATATTAAACAGTCAAATCCGACCTAATAGTACTATTGCCCACGACAGTGACTGCCATCCCTCACTGTCAATAATCAATATAAATGCTTGTGTATTTCGCAAAAACAGCTCACCTCTATCAATTGAAGTGTACTGGTTTAAAATAATTTCAAATAAAAATGTTAGCCTTAAATTTAAGGGTTTTCATACTAATTATCAACAGCAGCAATACATACAATGGTAGAGTTTTGATCTAATTTAATTAATACGCAAGATTTTTCCTTAAATAATATGATTAGATTAAGTGTGTACTATGAAATGTAAACAATTATCTACATACTAAAGTCCATCTTCAACAAAGAGATGGTTTCTTGTAATATTTTTAATAGAAAATATTAGCCTTCTGATTTTAAATTTATAACTAATTGTTGGTAAAATTGTTTCAGTTATAGATATCATATTTTTGTAATGCAATCACCACAAATAATGTTTTAAAATTAGTAAATCAGCATTTAAATTAAAAAAAAGATGAATTGATTTTTTTTATGTTTGGATTTGAGATTAAATTTCCTCCATTATTTAATTTATTATAATCCAACATATGATTTTGATATATTCGAATCCCTCTATTGTAAATAACCTACTAAAAGTTAATTGTTAAATAATTTGTTTTTTTGGGGGGGGAATAGCGAATAGCCTTCCGCTTTTATATCGGGAACTAGGTTATTTACACTCGTGATTATTAAAATAAAACCCCGGCACTAAATATAGGCTTTTTGAGGATGTTTAACTGCTGTTGGGAATTCGGGAACCTAATACTTTTGTGACACTGAGTGAGAAAAAACAATAAGAATATATATATCTGAAATGTGGGACTGAGTAAATACACTTTAAATGAATTGACTCACCTGTTTTGTTATTCTTGAATCATGAGGCATATAGGACAACTAAATAAATAAATGACTTTTCACTCCGGTATAACAAAATAATTTATTTCTACAACTGTAATAAACTGACTCTATTAAAGTGTTATAACTATAGACTTGATTTTCTAAATCTTGTAGTAGACTTTTTTTCCCAGGTATGTGTTCCGCCTCAGTGTCCAGCCTCAAGTGCCTGGCGTCGTCTTCCAGCTGCTGCTACCTGACCGGACCTTTTTCCTTCTTTATCGATATGAGATTTTGCAATGAACAATTTGTCCACTGCACAATTGAGTACAATTCATAGTGCAACCTCACATTCCTATATATTATATATTCCTTCTCATACCCTCACCCAATGTCACATAAAGGAGTAAATACCGGGGGATGTCTACTACACTATAAAATATTTTTGTTACTTCAATCCAACAAAAATGATTTACTATAGTTTTATTTAAATTTTCTTAATAATTTCTCACTAAATTTTGTTTGAATTGATGAGAAAAAAAGAAATGAAATGTGCCTTTTATCATCAAAACTTGTTTCCGATATGATAACACAACCTAGAACTGCCGAAGGGCAACAGCAGCTTCACTGATTCAGGAGCGTTTACAAAGGAGCAGTATGGATATTATGTCACTGCTGACGATATGCTCCTTTCTATTATAAACATACGCTTGAAACTTCGTGAATGATTTTATCTTATCGTAACCTACAAATTTTGTATCAACGGAAATTTTCAGAATTGGTGCATTTTTTTATTAAATTAATTAATTTAATGAAAAACTAAAAACTCATAAATATCTACTTGCTTTCCACTTGAATCGTAAGATAATTTGATCACAAAATCAAGAAAAAAAAAAGTGGCCTACAAAAATATTGGGCCGTTTGGCCTATATAACCTCATTATTTAAAAAAGTTAATAGGTTAAGATGAGATGAAACTATTTACAAAGTTTTCGGTGTATGTTAATTAATTGGATAAAAAGGGGTCTCTATCACGGACTATTCCATTAAAGAATAGAAAGTACTGCTGCTTAACTACCAGCAGTACCGGCGAAACAATACCTTATTAAAGATATATACATTACATACCTGTGTTTGTGAACAAGGAGAACACAGAGCCAGATGAGAAGGAGAACAGTCCCAGTCCATTCACACATGTGAAAGGCCCATGGAATATGTGGCACGTTGTCGAGAAATATATCAGGTAGCGGTGGGTATTTCTTCATATCTGGAACACGGTCGTGGACGATAACCATTACGAAAGCAGTGATCCAAGTGACGACGAAACAATAACCAAGAGCTATCAGAGACTTCCATAATTCCGGCCGAAGGGTAGTTGCCTGACCATCTTCGGACGATCTACTCGACTGAGGATGTAAGTATTCGCTTTCCGTACCGTCGAGAGGCTGATATCGATAGTTCACAATCTGTTCCTAAAAAATAACAAAAATTTTATGAACTAATGCATTTGAGAAATAAAGAATGACAATATATAATATATATTCAAAATTAATCGTTTGAAAACTCTAGTATAAACTAAAGTGAAAACTAATAATAGACAATGCTTAAGAAATCAACAGAAACTATGTTGTACAAATATATGCCCTGGAGGCAAAGGACACCATGTCTATTTTTTAATTAAATAATTTAGTAACTAAGCAACAAATTTTAATAGCTCAAAGTCGTAACGGTACTGGTCTAGTAGTTAGTCAGGACGGAACCTCCCTTGTTATCTCATGTAAGTGGTGAATTATTCCATTGTTTGTTTTTGTTCCATTTGTGCGATTTTCTTCAAATTATGGATGTTATTAAATTGTGGTAATTGCAGTCTTCAGAAGAAGAGGCTATCGAATATTATCAAAACGCCAGGATAATTCCAAACATGAAATTGTGTGAATAAGATCATCAAATGAAGTTATACAGGAAGACGAAATGGAGATGCTTTTGTACCACTTGTAACAACGTTTCTATAAGGAAAGGAACATGGTCAGAGGGATCGAGGATTTCGTTTTTAACGGCTTTAAAATTAATTTATGGGTGGTCCCATAATTTAACAACGATACAGTGGGGCAAAAAGCAGCTGAAACTATCCAAGACAATTATGATAATGTGGAACAAATTTTTAAGAAAGGTTTGTGCCCATAACATGTTATACGGGTCAAATAAAAAAATGGAGGGCCTGGCAAAATCGTCAAAATAGATAACAGTCTTTTTTCTAAAAGAAAAGATCATGTAGGGAGAGTTCAACCTCAACAATAGATGTTTGGCAAAGTTTGCTGAGAAACAGACGAGTGTTTTATCGTCAAAATAAATGACAGAAAGGCAACAACATAATTACAATGTATTAAAAACAATATACAAGAGAGAGCACCATTTATTCTGACTGAGGGATTTTATTTCTTTGATAAGCACATATGTTGTTTGAATTTTTTTTTTTTTATTATTACATTTATTTTTTTCTATTTCATATATATGTTGAAAAATAAAAGTATTTGTTTATTATTACATTTGTTTTTATTTACAATTTCAATAATATTAATATAATACAATAAATATGAATATGAAGATAGGGATTAGCGCTGCCTTATCGGAATTTTCAGTGTTCAAGTTATAAACATTGGCAGATAGCAGTCGATCCCGATCGCATACTAGACAAATACCACCATAACTTTCTTTTCCACAGAAAATTGGCTCCCCAGAACAAAATATAATAAAATAAATTAATTTGACATCAGCTTGACTTTGACTAACAAGAACCCCATTGTTGGTTTTCTTGTCTCTTAAGTGAGACAATAAAATTTATAATATGTTGCAGTCATCTTAGCTTCAGGTGTTCACTTCTGCTAGCTCAAAAGATAAAGAAATTATCCATAAAAAAGAAACTTTCTTTAGTAAAAATTTAAATTTAGGCCGATAAAAATTCTGTTTATTTGGTTTCAATAAAAAAATCTTTCATCATAACAATCAATAAAAGAGAAATTGTGATAATGGTTCGCTACGCTCATACAGATGATGATAAAGTCTGCAATAAAATCTTGACTTATGTAGTTGGAATTGTTTCTGAAATGGATACATTTTAGCGGACAGATATTCTCCATTCTTGAGTCAATTAATATTTTTTTCTTGATGGCTCTGAGAAATGAACCTCGGCACAACTGCTCTGGTTAGGATAGGGTCCGAAACTCTAGGTAACCATCACAGGTTGATAAAAATGACCATAATACAACTTGCCTAATTCACACCAAAAAAGGTGTACAACTTTTTTATAGCACACGCTATATTTAAGCATGCCAGTACATCCCTTTTGTAAATATATCATAATAATGAAAACTATTATTTATAGAATTAAATATGTGTATTCTAGTCTATTTTGCAACCTTTATCAAAATTCTGCGTTAAAATACTCTTTTATCTAAGAATATGAACATGAATATTATTTTTGTGAACAAAAGTCTATTAGACTCATGTCATCTCCTAATCCTCCCAGCATGCTATATTATGATATGCATGCCATAGATTAAGAAGCCCTGGTTTAGATTCATACATTCTGGGGTTTATTAGAAGAATTAAAATGGAAAAAAGTAATAAATTCGATATAATTTTTAATTATATTGCAAGATTTAACATATTTAATTTCATAAAATAAAACACTTAAACAAGTATTATCTATTTATTTGTTCTGAAGTTAAAACTTTATCATACATATCAATCCAAGATAAGATAAGGGAGTAAGATAACAGCTGGAGGTAATGTGAAGGTTGTTATGGTAACTAAAATAGATAAGCAGCCATATTAGCACTTATTATCATAATGTTATTCAACCAACCCCAAAAATAATAAATATCTTTTTCTAATTTTGACATACCCCAATAAAAAAAAAAAAATTAACTTCAATAAATGAACAATACTTACTGAAAAAAATATAATAAATTATAGCATTTAACGTGTGAGGTTAAAGAATGCCCTGAAACTAGATTGTTGAATACATAAACAGAACCATGATATAATAAATATTACAAAAATTAGATAAAAATAATTGATAATAAAGAATAATACAAATGCACTATTACCTCTATTCGATGATTGGAGTAGCTATGTGCGATCATATTTGAAAGACCTTTTGAAAAATAAAGCAAAGATTGAGGATCAAATCCATGTTCGATCAATACTGTTTGCGAGTCCAGCTTAAGCTGCCTAATATCTAAATATAAACGTTTCACATCACCTAAAATCTAAAATAACAGAATATTTCAGAACTGACTTACACAAATATTGCATTAAAATCTCAAATACTATTACTTACTTCTATATTAAGGGGCGGTGTTTTCAAGTCAGTCTCAGTCAGAAGGAGGAGTGCTTTGCCATCAATTTTATTTAAAAAAAACTTTGGAGCATACTTGGAATAGCCTTTATCATTGAGCCATTCTACTACTTTTTCACAATCCCATTTATGAATAGGCTCTTGAGCCATTTTTCAAGTTTTAACTCACCTACTTCTAGCACCATTAGCTTCCATTCATAATAAAGGAAATTTAGAAAAGAGGAACTTTTATAGGATTATCCTAAAGAAAATTAAAATGCAAACTTATGACAAAGTTTTCATGAAAAAATATTATTCATATAACTAATATATGATTCAACGCAAAAAACATAAAGGATAAACTATAAAACCTAACCTTCCTACTGGCTATAGTAAGAAGGCAAGGAATTTGATAATGGCTTTTGGATTACATCATGGATAAACATTCAGCCAACTTAAATACTATTCACATTATTAAAACTTGAAACAAATATTCAAAACTAATCTATGCATTTCAAGAAATAATTGACGTTCTATCTATAATATTATATTAATCAATCCTGTTTGAACATTTTATGATAATACAAATACATAATTATAATCACAAAAGATTACGTAACTTAATATGGAAGAAACTCGTTTGAAGTATGTCATCCTATTGTAATCGTGAAAGATTGACATTTTTCATTCTAAAATCTGGGGTTTTTGTTTAAATTCATTGCCCATTTCTTCATTAAGATGCTCCATACTTGAATAATGAGATTTAAAACTGAATTGTTGATAAGACTTGTAGATAATTGGACAATTTATAGTTAAAATAAAACACCTTTTAACTCAATATATATACATCCCAGATAATGATCTGAATAAATAATATTGTTTGAATCATGTTCAGATATTCTTTGAAAAAAAATTAAGAATATATATATTATTCTTTATTTGTTCGTAGTTCTATCCATGTTTGTGTAGACGTTTTATATCTATGCGTTTATTAGGATTTCAACCCCTATTTTGTTGATTTTAATTTGCTTTATTATATGATTTAAAACGTAATAAAAACAATAGACATTTACAGAGAACAGCTCATCTAAATTGTTTAATGATATGACGTCAGACATGTATACCTATCGGGTACCCCTTGTGTCAGACATCTTGTTTAGCTTACCAGGCGCAATTTTCTGACAGTAGTGAATTGTGATGCTGAATTTGTGTTGTACGTATTTTGTGATAACATTGTTCTATATATTGTAAATTTCGTTTAAGTTCACGCTTAAGATGAAAGTGTTTATATTATTGAGTATAAATATTGACGTTTTCGTAAATTCCTAACAAGTTTTGTTAATTAAAAACAAAGAAAAAAAAACAACAAAAAACATTTAGTTATCAGTGATAGTCTAAAAAGATATTTTTGTTTATTGTGTATTTTTTTTCTTCCTTTGATTTATAAACTTATGCTGGGGTATGTGGGCGGTTGTGTTAAACCACTTATTCTTGGGCACATATTTGTTTACATTTTAACTTGGACTAGAATTGGATCCAGTTTATCTTGTTTTCTTGTTTATTATTTAAATAAATGTGTTTTTATCTAGTTTGATGGTGGTAGTAATTAAACATATGAAGTTATTATTAAAGCCCAGTTACATTGCAGATAAGTTATTTACTGGAGTATTATTTTTTTAGATGAATGGTTTTTGTGAAAGGAAAGTGAATATTAATATTTATAAAGCTATCCTGAGACATATCTGGGGAAGATTTAAATGAGGTATGCAGTTTTTGCTTGATTTAATATAAACTTTCTCATAAGATTAGATGTTTTGTTTGTTGTATATATTTTAGTTATTCATTCTTAGTTTAAGTAATCTCAATGCATAAGTGTTATTTTTATTATCAATGAGTTATTTTATATTATTATTAATATATAGATTATGCCATAATTTCCTTTTTGTTATCCTGAAGTTTTAGAATATTTTAGTCAATTATTTCATCTTTTATTTGTATTATTTTATTCTTATCCTGTTTTTATATACCTTCTATATTTGATTTTATTAGGAAATTGCTCGTTAGTACATTAATAACTCCTGTATGTTTGAAATTAATGCACAGACTTACCCATTTATTTTCAAATAAGTATATATGTTGTTTTAAACATTGAAATTTGATGAGTGTATTTTTATTCTGTACTTATGGTTGTAAATTATTTCATATTTTATAGAATTTTTTTAAATTATCTGCATGAAAAAGTTTTTTTTAATTTAACATAGTAGGGTAGGGATTTTAGGGCAATAAATTGCTAGATTATTCTTGAACATTCTTGAATCTATATTCTGGTTATTGTGATATATTATTATTTCAGAATTGGAATTCAAGATTGTATTGTATTCAGTATCTTTTTATAATATTTCAAGACATTTATACAGCTTTAATATTATTTTCAAACTTTATAAAACAAACAATTAATATTATCGATTACAATTTTGAAGGACTTGTGTTGTTTTGATTATATTTTATTTTAAATGCTGTTTCGAAGTAGTAAGCTGTCTTCTTTTGCTTCCTCCTTCTTTCCAGTATTATCAGTATTTAAAAAAAAAAAAATAATGGTAAAATCATTCTTTGAATAGATGATGATATTATTATGTATTTGATCGCTTACATTTATATTTCAATTACTTATTATTTAATGGCAGTATTTACTCTAGTCTTATTCATTCAAAACCATCAATTCCCATCATCCTCCCTACTTTTAAATCCTTGGTTTACAACATAAAACAAGTTCCCCTGTTTATGTCCTCTACCTTTTCAATAGATTTTTAGTTTGTCAAAGACATACTTAAAAAGCAATATTTTAACTTTTAAAATCTAAAGATGTTATATAAATACACTATGAAAACCATAGCACATTAGACAAAATGAAAAATAATTACGATTTATCTCAAAAATGTGACATTTAAAGATAGGGCTTGATTTTTCAAAAGGAATAGGTCTTGATGGCTGGTTCAAAATCTTTAAAACACAATTATTTTCACTCAATTCGTCGACCTTAAAAACCATCTTGGTTTTAAAACCTTTAAATTTTCTCGATTACTCTTATTGTTGTTTTATTAAGGCTTTTTAACTTTTGGAATTGACACTTCTCCATGAAATTCTCTTTTGTTTCATCCCTTATACGTCATAATATCCATCACTCAGGAAAGCTGGAAAAGAGATTTATACTATCATTTTGTACAGATAGTTCGAGATAAGAAGTAGTTAGAATTTTGGAAAAGAAAGGAAGTTTCATGAAGTAGTGATCAATTTTAATTTTTAAATTTGTACTAAAACTTTAATAGAAGTCATTGAAAAAATTATTTATTCATTCATAGATTGAATTAATTTTTCGATTACCTATTCATGGTTTGTTTCGAGTCAGGAACTAGTCTTTTGAAGAGTCTACTTCATTTTAAAGTTAGTGATAGGTATATAATAAAAAGCAAATAAATAAAAGAAAGCACTATTAATATGTTGTGGATTTTTACAGCAATTATCCTCATCTTCAGGACTTTGATTATGTCCTTGTTGGATTTTGGGATGTTCTTCGTGTTAAGGCTTATCTCTGTATTCGCCCAGTTGTCATCAATAAATTTAAAGAGTAATGTCTAAAATACTTTTTATTTTTCTGATTTTTTTTAAATATTCTTATTACTGACCGATTATGATGCCTTGTTCATTAATTTATATAATTTAATGAACTTTAGTATAGAATAGAAAAATTACTATTCTGGGACGAAGTCCCCTATAAATAACAGAGTTGTACAGAAAAAAGAAGAATTACTTCTGCCAGAAGATCTGTTACAATATATAACTTTAAAAAAAAATAAGTAAACTAACAACATATACAAGATAAAACAAATGAAACTATGTATAAAATATTTACAAAACAAATGAGAAATGATAAACAATAACTGCTGCTAAAAAAAAAAAAAAAAAAAATGAAAGGAATATGAATAATTAAAAGAAGAAAAAAAATTATGTAAACAAAAAATATATACAAAACAAAACAAATGATCCCATGTACAAGGTACTTAAAAAATATATTGAAAATGAATGATATAAAAAATGTTCATTTTATAAGATAATATAAAAGATAAAAAAGAAAACCAAATAAAATTAAACTACTCTAAAGTATGAGTATAAAATCACCATTAAATTGCAGAAAATACATCTGTTATTTAAATAAATTTAGAAAACTATATAACTTCAAGATATATCAATAAAACTTTTATTTACACAATTTTAAAAACATAAAAAAATATATTGGTTTAGCTATCGTATGACTAATGCTTAAGGAACTTATGTATTCTTATTACATTAATTATTTTATTTTATTATCTATTTTTTAATTTGGCAGAGATTATCTCAGGGCTAATTTTAATCTGTAGTTGCTTTAAAACTGTTGCATGTAAAATGTCAGGTATGTGGACTCAAACTACACCGCTTTGGGTGTGAGATCTAGCACATAAATTATTTACTATATCTTCCTTAATATTAGTCCGATTAAGATTATTTAGTTTTTACCAGTTTAGTTTAGTTTTCACTTACCTATATATGTTTTTATATTATATTGTAAAGGGGAGTACATTTTGAGGTCCTCTGAGTACAAATGACCCAACACTCTGTAATGTGTTGTTATTCTACCCTTCTCTAAGTTTTGTTTGCGTGTTAACAGTCTATCTGAAAATGTAAAGTTCTACAAAACTGACATGGATGTCAGAACGACAGACATTCAAAACAAAATGTTCATTATAATTCTAAAGCGAGATGTTTGAGAGTTGAGAAATTCATTGTTATTTTATTAGTTAAAAAATATAAACAATAATAATAATTATATATGTTTATATATATTTATATTTTTAAATTATTTAGAGATGGATATATAGTTGATTGTTAAAATTTTAAGGATAAAAAATGGTCTGGACATAAATTCCAACAATCGAAATATGTTAATAAATAATAGTTGGTAATTGGTTGACTGTCGTGGATAATGAAGAGAAGAATAGTTGGGGTGGTCAGTCAAAAAGGAAGGCAAAAATAAATGATAATATTTATTTTTACATATGACGACGTTTCGACCTGAAGTTCAGGCCTTCATCAGGGCTGTCTCCGTCTCCTTAAGCGTTGCAGGGAGAATTGCATTGCAAAGCATTGCATTGAATTGCATTCTCCCTGCTACACTTAAGGAGACAGACCTGATGAAGGCCTGAACTTCAGCTCGAAACGTCGGCATATGTAAAAATAAATATTATCATTTATTTTTGACTGACCACCCCAACTATTCTTCTCTTCATTAATAAATAATGTTTATGAATAAACACCCTTATTGACTGCATATACTGATTGTTTTTCATCCTTTCTTTTT